TAAACCAAAAAGTCAGGCTTGATTCGCTACCAGCAATATGGAGCTCTCGAGGATCTGGAGGAGGTGGGCGGAGCATTAGGGTTTAGGGTTTGGGGTTCTTCAGAGTTTAGGGCTTAGGGTCATGACCATGGTGAAGAGGGGCACCAACGCTCCTCATCCTCCTCCTCAACCCCCTCCTCATCACCATGAAAATCCTCATCACCCTGACGTCATCTTCTTCATCATGATCATCATGACCAGCAGCAGCAGCAGCATCTGCCTCACATATACATATATATATATATATATACATATACATATGTATGTATGTAAACATTTGCACAGAGTCTGTAATTGGCATAATGGCGACAGTGAACTTGCTGAGGATGCGGCTAGCATTGGTTATTGCTGTGTCCATGAATCCTGACTTCGTTGAGAGTGACCCCTATCATGAATCCATCATTCCAAGGGTAAAAGGAGGGACCCTGAATAAGGACATACCGTTAATATAGCTATTATATACCCATTATATGGGCCATTATAGGGTAGGGGTCCCCATTAAGGGTCCCTTCTTTTCCCCTTTGAATCATTTAAATCCCTACCGTCAGGCGGTCGTCATGTTCGGCTTCGGCAAGGACCAAGCTGTCTTCAGAAGCTACTGAGCTCTGCAGCTGGCTCTTTGCAGTGAGCATGGCTGCATACAACATCCCATAATACACTTTATGCACTACGATGCACTCTAAAATATACTGCAACATACTTTATAATATGAAGCAACACCGACAAACCCCATCTGGTTTGGGCTTTAGGGAGATTTAGTGATGTATTTGTAGCTTTTTTTCCAGGGTTCTACCAGGATCTCGCGGCATCGCCTCGGTCAAGGGTTCAGTGTTTAGGGTAGCGTTCTGAGTTCAGGGTTTAGGATATAGGGATTAGGGTAGCGTGGGTTTAGGGTAGCGTGGGTTTAGGGTTTAGGGTGGCGTGGGTTTTAGGGTTTAGTTTAGGGTTTAGAGGTTTAGGGTCTCGTGCTGAGTTCAGCATCTTTGCCCCATGGTATAGTCCTCTTAAGCGTTCTTAGGCTGCTCGTGCCATGTACATATAGTCTCAAATGTCGTCCCTATTTTGTTTGGTTGAACCAGTTTTATATGTATATGAGCACCTCTCGGAAGGTAACCCAGAAAAGCAACTACAATGCACACTCAACGTAGTCATGAAGCGTGCCAAAGCGCACGGGTGCATGACCGCTTGTCTCAGAGTGCTCGGGGCTTTAACGGCCGCAGGGCTGCTTGTAGAGGAATTTTTTTGGGGTTTCATAAGTCAAAGGGCAAAAGGAGGGACCCTGAATGGGGACCCCTACCCTATAGTGGGCTCAATAATTTGTATACAATAGCTATATTAAGGGGAAATACCTAGGGCTCCTTATTAAGGGTCCCTCTTTTGCCCTTGGTATAAGGTTTGGCAGTTGTGGCGTAGTGATACCCGGGACCCGTGGAGAGTTTATCTATTGACAATGTGCTCCGACACCGTGTTCGGCCATCTCCGTCCATTTTATCAAGTCTGAGGGCGAGCGGGTGGGGTCTTCTTTTGCCTCCTGTTGTATTGTTGAGTATGGTTTAGGGTCAGGGTGTGGTTTCGGGACCTCAGGCTTGAGGGTTCGGCAGTTGGTGTTGATCGCTTTGCGAATATTGTGTTTCGCTCCGCCAAATTCCAAGAACTTCGTGTTCCAAACCCGTAGCCCTGTGAAACACCAACAACCTCTACAAACTAAATTCCTAAATCCCCTAAACCCTAAACCCTAATCCTAAGCCCTAAGCCCTAATCCTAAAGTCAATGTTACGAAGTCGTATGGCGTTTACTAGGACCCAGAGTAGGCCCTTATTCCCTTTTTTGAGGCTTAGGTTCCCTTATAAACCCCTTTAAACCAAAAAGGGCACCCTTTTATTCCTAGGTTACTCTTAGGTCTAGTTAGGACCCTAAGGACTCTAAACTATGGGAATTATGGTATATTCCCTATAAGGGGTAATGCAGGATTTTGTCCATCAGCAGTATGGCGTTTCGGATGCATCCTGCAGGCCTCTTGTCAGAGCAGTTAGATGTGCTGACGGCCTCCTGGGCCCCGGCCCCAGTGCGGTGCAGTTTGTGCTGTGCGCATTTTTAGGGTTTAGGGTTTAGGGTTTATGGGACTTTGTAAGTAAGGTTTTGCATCGATTTTGTAGGGCCTCATCTGATTTGACACGGTTATTGCAAGTTGGTTGACGGTGCTGGGGTCAGGGGTCAATAGCAATAACATCTTGACGTGTATAGTGTCTAGTGACTTGCGGATCGGGTCTTGTTTCCATGGATGTTTGTAGAGTTGTAGAGTTGGTAGATCGGTCGCTTTGTAGTTGACGGAGTTTGTGAAGGCGAATATCGGGTTCGGGATCTTGTTTGGCATCCGGTTGAGAGAGGGCATCAGGAGAAAGTGTTCAATTCGATGTTGTGCAAGGCGCCCTCATGCAAATACTCTCCGTGATGCTGTTGATATTGTAGTAGAGTTGGAATGTTGGAAGGAAGTGTTGGTAGACTCATTCTGTTGAGATGCAGACACACTCACCTTGATGACATAATAAGCTCCTTGCCATCTAAGCATCCCGGGTCCCAGCCTCCTTCCAGCACTCTGAGCGGCCTTAGGAGGACCAATTCCGGAATTTCAAGCACCGATTTCGGGGCCCGAACCGAAACTCACTTTACTCTGCACCCTAAACCCCTAAACCACCGAAACCCTACACCCCTAAACCCTAAACCCCTGAACCCTGAAACCCCAAAAAAACCCTAACTCCCAAACCCTAAACCCTATATAAACCCCTAAACCCTAAGCCCCTAAACCCTAAGCCCTAAACCCCTAAACCCTAAACCCTAAGCCCCTAAACCCTAAGCCCTAAACCCCTAAACCCCTAAACCCTAAGCCCTTGTCTCACAAGCTGCCAGGCGGCAGTCCCAAGGGCCGTCAAGGACGGCCATGGATGCACAGTGCCGGTTTTTGGGTTGAGAGAGTTTAGGGTTTAGAGTTTAGGGTTTATAGGGTTTAGAGTTTAGGGTTGAGAGAGTTTAGAGTTTAGGGTTTATAGGGTTTAGAGTTCAGGAATGCACAGCGGCTGTGCCGCTGTGCTGTGACTTCTCCGGCTGGTTGGCTCACAGTAAGGCATGAACAGCAGTACCCTTTTGCCATCTTTCTCAATGTTTGGTGTTCCCTTATTAAATACCAAATCCATATACATGTATACATATATACATATATACATATATATATATATATGTAACATCTGTATATATATATATATATATATATATATATATATATATATATAGGACAGAGGGTGCGCCGAATCACTGCGGGGCTACTGGGGAACCTAGGATTTGGGTGCCTTCCAATAGGAGGTCCTATTGAAGGACGAACGAAGGCGATGGACATTGTCTACTTCGATAAAAATGGCCACCGACCCTCAGCCCCAGTCCGAACCCCTGTGTACCCCTGTGAGGGTTGGGGGGATCGGGATGTCGGCGGTTGAAAACTCGCGGTTCAGGGTTGTTGACATGAGGACTTAGGGCGGGCAACAGCGGCGACAAGATGCGCGGGAACAAAATCAAGCGACAACGAGAGCAGATAGAAAGTCCGGCCAACAGCAACGACAACACTGGCGAGGATTAATATCGTGCTGATGACTACGACGATGATGATGACAACCATCGTCATGCAACTCATCATCGCCATCATCTCCATCATCATCAACGTCATCTTCAGCAACGTCGTCACAACCATGCTGTCACTTCATGACTAGTGACAGCAGTAAAGCTGTTACTAACTGATAGTCACCAATAACCAATATCATCCACCAAAGGTCGAGTCTCTTGTACACGTTGTCATGGCAGCTCATGTCGTCCTAATGTTGATTCGTGTTTACGTGGCAACTCACTGCAACTCGACCTAAACACGACTCCGCGGGAAGTGCTCTTCGGTTAATGTTCACGGCTTTGGGATCAGACATTCAGGCGTTCCTGTGCAGCTTTGCTCAAGCAGGGTCCGTGCTTGTCCCTAAAGTTGCCTTACCCTTGGGATTGGCACTGATGTCGAGAGTACATTGGGTCTGGTGCCGAGGTTCGTTGAGGTTTGCTGGCACCTGTTTGGTTTCTTGTGCCTCGAATGCATTACCTGGTCCAAACCTGTACATAAGTTTAAATAATCGCTAACACTGACTGTAGCTGGCATGGTCAGGAGCAGCAACCGGAGCAGCTTCGTCGCCTTTTCCGCCATGTGCAGAGCCCAGCATTCTGGATTCTGTTCAAGCATCAGGCTAGGGTTTGGGGGTTCAGCGTTTGGGGTCTAGGATTTACAGGAGTTAGGAGTTGATGTTTCGATTTTCGGGTGGACTTAGAGTTCAGGATGTGTGATGTGAGTTCCTAAGTTCACCAAAGAAGAATACACTTCAATCTTTGGGCTCTTATAGAGCCCTAAGCCCTAAGTAAACCCCATATCCCTCCCGAAAACCGAAACCCTTAGACCCTAAACCATCATGCACAGTTAAGCATTATAAACCCTAACCTTGAATCCAAAACTCTGGGCCGCCCTACCTTAAACCATCCTAAACTCCCAAAACCTGAACTTCATGGGCTCTAAGCTTGAGCTTCAGGCCATCTCTTTTCTAGAAGGGTTCAGAGATCTCCCCACAGGCTCCTCATATATGCATCAGCGGAAGTTCGCGCTCAAGGGGCAAAGGGGTTTAACTTTTAGGGCTTTTGGGGTTCAGGGTTTTGGGTTTTGAGGATTTTGGGTTGATGGTTGTGTCACGAAGAAGCATACTAAGTTCCCCGTCACCTCTGCGTGTATGGTCGAACCGAGAGAGCATTCTTCAGCTTCGAATCAGTTGTACAAGACACGGTTGCGGTTTAAGATAGCCAACTCTGGCACCTAAAGCACTGAACTCGAAGTCCGATCCTGTGTACGAACCTAAACTGACAACCGCGAGGACGTGGAGTTGGTAGCCATGCACGATGCCGTCGACACGGCCTACAAGGTCCCCATGTGCTGTCATGTCACCATGCCGCCGGACGATCTGTCGGAGCAAACCTCTCCATCTCTCTCTCCCTCTCTCCATCTCACTCTCTGTTTGCATGTGTCTGCATTTCATATTGGCGGTGATGCGCACATACGTACATACCAGCTTGCATGCATGCATACATGAGCATACATATGTACGTATGTACCTGCCTACATAGGTACCTGTCGACCAACCTATCTAATTACAGAGCTACAAACCTACCCGCCGGCCTACCCACTCACCTCTCTACTTCCTACCTGCCTGCCTAGTGACCTACCATACAGACAGACCGACAGACAGACAGGCAGGCAGGCAGGCAGCCAGCCAGGCGGACAGGCAGGCAGACGGACAGACAGACAGACCAACAACTGCACCATTTGACACGCACAGATCGTTTATGACCATACACGCATGCACGCACGCACTTGCTGAGAAACCATCTCTGTCCTGGCAGGTTTTAAGTTCGTCCTGCTTTCTGCAGGACGTGTCTTGCGTGATGAGGTAATGAATCATGCTGTCGTGCACACACTGGTGTTCCTGACAGCAGTGATGGTGGTGGTTCTGGTGGCAGTGGTCGCAGTTGTCGTGGTAGTAGCATCCGTAGTGGCCGTAGTAGCCGCGATGTGGTCGTGGCAGTCGCAGTCGCAGTACTAGCAGCAGCAGCAGCAGCAGCAGCAGCAGCAGCAGCAGCAGCAGCAGCAGCGGTAGTCGTCGTCGTAGTCGTAGTACATAGTAGGGATAGTAATTGCAATCGTAACATATTTGCAGCTCATTAGTGCGCAACCAGAAGTTAAAGCAACACCTCTCAAAAGCAACAGCTCCATATCAACAAGGCGCAGCATTTGCGGTAATGGTAAACGATAAACACAATGAACGAAGCCTCGGTTAGCCATGATTAGAAGAATTGTATGCCGGTGCTTGGTTCAGGCTCGGCTCTAACCTCCCAAAATCTCAAACCCCAGCTGCTCTAACTACCGATTGGGCGAGGCCTGGACAGAGCGCGTCCGAAGCTCAGTACGGTTCGTGCTGCTTCCTGGAAAATGTGACAATCCATAAAAAACACACCTACCGGATGCAACAAACGAACAAAAGCTCCATGAAAGGAAAGCTTACAGTTTCTTCGTTAAGCAGTCGAGCTCGCAGCCGTACTGGCGAAGCCTGAGTAGTTACCCATGACTCCTCAGGGTTCCTTGTCTGCTCTATATATATATATATATATAATTATATATATATATATATATAGATATGTATATAGTTATATACCACCCCAAAAAAAACATATTTCAATTGTTCAGGCCCTTGTTTTGGATCAGATTCCCGGAGACAGTCTCAAGGATGTTCAGGGTTTCTGCTCTAGTCCAGAGCTTCAGAACTCAACGTAGTCTGCTCCAAATCGGTTATCGAAGGTTTGGCAAAGCATCACTCTCTGAACCGATTATAGGTGGCTTTCTGAACAGCACCCTGGCATTCGGAATAAACCACCAATGCTTCACTAGAATTCACAAGACCCTACGCTCTAAAGCCTCCCCGCTAAGCCCGACATGAGGTAAACCTACCCATAACTTTCCACCTTGTAGCTTTCGAGTGAACCGGCCTGTGTAGACGATGGGAGGCTACTGAGCTGTCGACACTCATTCCCTTGAGGGTGGGAACCTGTCGAAAACTACCACCCCTTCAGGATTACTCAGGGGTGGAGTCCTACCTTAAACCCTTAACCCTGTAAACCGTGTCCTGAGCCCGAAACCCTAGCAGAGTTGCCACATATGCAGAACTGCGTGCCCCGAACCAGACTTGCGACGACAATGCGATTGTGGAGATGCCGGGAGCTCTTCAGCGTGCTACTCCCAGCTCTCATAGGAGAGGTTCAAGACATTTATGGGGTTTTCGGTTTAGGCTTTTGGGATCCCGGGTTTGTAGGCAGGGTTTAGGGCTTCGCTGACTGTGTTGTCCCAGTCGGTTTGCGGTTTAGCGGTCTAAGTCTGAGGTCCTTTTGTCCAAGTTTTGAAGGTCTCGGCGTTTACCACTTGGAGGATCATGGGACTTAGTAAGTAAGGTTATTATAGCTACCCTCATTATAACCCTGGTTACTAAGTCCCATGATCCTTCAAGCATGCACGCACCTCCGGGCTCGTAGCCCAGTTGCCTGTGCAGCGGGCCGTTGTTCCTTCTAATTACCCCGATAGAAAGCACTATTACCCACAGTCCAGTAGCCTGCGATGTAGACAAGTGCCCGGTAAGCTACTGTACAGGTAAATGGGCATACATGGCTCAATAGGTTGCCTTGAAATGTAATTGAAGGATTCTTGCTGTCAGGGGCTAGCTTGTCTTTAGGTTCTGGTATTCAGGATCCTGAGGTGTTATGTTAGGCGCACATTGTTCTTGAGGCTCCCATGAACGTTCATGCGAGGCACAAGCTCACGCCTTTAACCCTTCAACTTCAATCCTGCCCAACTGCGTCCTCAACTCTAAACTCAGTAGAGCCTCAACTACCCCTGCGAAACCTTAGCCAGAGGGTCCATATATACTACCATCATGTGGGCGTTGGGGCCTATAGTTCCTGGTCAAGCAACTAGATCGGCGATGGGGTTATGGCCAGGTTTGGGAGTTTCGGGTGTGGAGAGTTTTCGGGTCTAAACAGCAGTAGCTCCACACATGGGCACTTAGGCTTCTAGCGCCAACTGCATTTGAATGGGCGCTTCAGAAAAAAGAGAACCTAGGATGCCCAGTAGTACCCTTATTCCTTTTTTGTAGTCCTAGGTTCCTTATAAAGTTACCCAATATCCTAGGAACCCTTACGAGAACCCTTCCTAAGCCTCGCAGAGCTACGCAGGCTTCGTGGAGAGGATGCGGCCGCCCTACGCTGTGGAGGCTCGGACTCTACCACCAAAACCTCGCTCGGTTCCTGGGTTTACCCACATAGGCCCCAAAGTAGTTCCTTTTTGGGATTACCTAATAGGATCCTATATATGAACCCCCAAAAGGAACTACTTTGCGGGCCTCTGGGTAGAGTTCAGGTTTTTCGGATCTCGGGTGTTAGTGTGCAGGTCTGATTGCTTTCAGAGGGTTTTTTAACATGGTCTCTGAAGGGTTCAGATGAAGTGTTTCAGGTTTACGGGCTTTAGGGCTGATAGAGGTAGGGTTTAGGGTTTAGGGTTTAGGGTTCAGGGTCAACGGTTTTCAAGTTAATTTTTGAGCCTCTGAAGCCCTGAGGAGTCACTTAGTTCTTGGGGATTGGGCCTCTACATAGCTCATATAAGCACAAAAAAGCCCTGCAGAGACCTTATATAAACAACCGCGTGTACAAGTGAGGTGTACGAGGGTTTCTTGACATTTCGGGCCGCTCTGAGCCAAGTTGGGCATTCTCTCGTGCGGGGATTCCCTACACTACCGTTTAGGTTAGGCTTTAGGGTTTAGGGATCCAGCAGAATCTGAAACCTCGATGGCCGAAAAGATGCCGCATCGAAATGGGAGTTTCCGAAAATTAGGGCTACCGTAAGGGTCTACTCAGGATCTTACAAGAAATTTAGCGTACCACATTAGGGTCCCCTGTTTTCGGGAACTCCCAAATGTATGTGCACCAGCAGGCACGAAGGGCATTTAGGGTTTACGGGTTTGGGCACAGTGCCGTTGTTTCGGATCGGGCTTCGGCAAGCAGGGTTTAGGGTTTAGGGTTTAGGGGCACCATACGGCAATGAATGCATTCCAGGCGCTCTCGTGTTCAATGTGATCCGCGAAACCTTAATAACCAGATACCATGGGAATGGAGGAGCTGAAGAAAAATGAAAAGCAACACTCCTCCGTTTGACTCACAGTTGAATGCGAACCCTAAACCCTAAACCCTAAATGGCTACTTGGCTCAAGCCGCTGTTTCCTTGCAAAGCTCTCGCGGATCGGAAGCTGCCCCGAAGATCACGATGGCCCTCCTTCGGATCTTGGTTGCCCTGGGAGTCGTGGTGGCTGCTGAGCCGGCCGTTTCGGAGCTGGATACCAGCAAATTCCCCGGCCGGCTACTTACCGTGGTCAGGGTGCAAACCTGCCCTACGGCCCGGCTAGGGGGGCGATCTTCCGATCCCCTTCATCGGCACGATATCTGGAGCCCTGCCAGAGCCAGATGCCGTGCTTCCGAGGTTCCAGGCGATGGAGCGCGGCATGCGCTGGGTCCCCGGCTGGCAGCCTCTCGACGAGCCCGAGGCGGTGCTTCTTTGGCGGCGCGTCGAATCGACGCGCTCGTGGGCGTCCTTACCATCGGCCTGGCCATCGTGGCGGCATCCGTGCCAGTCGGGCTGGCCTGGCTGGTGTCCTTGTTGGGATCCTCGGAAGGGTCAACAGAAGAAGACGCCCGTCTCTTATCCCATATGCCGAAGCGGACGGAGGCGAGGAGGAGTTCGAGATGCAGCTGCACCCAGTCAAGACCGCGGTATTTGCAGTCTACTACGTCTGCAACATCACTTTCTTGCTGGTCCTGCCCTCCTGGTCCAAAGCGGAGAATTTGATGCTGGGCGGGGAAGGGCTGGCGTGGGAGGTCATTTGGCTCTGGCTGGTGGTCGTCCTTTCCACGGATGTGCTGATCGCGAGCTCCTGGCATACTTCGCTGTCCATCATGTCAACCAGCTCCATGGGGATGGAAACTAATACCCCGACTCACTTGGCCACCGGCGACAGTCAGCAAACGATCTTGCAGTGGAGCTTGGATGAATGGGACCAAGGCACGATGACTCTGACTACCACGGGGATGATATATTGGCCCGGGGAAATGACCACCGGCACCACTACCAGCACGATCTGGCCCTCTGATCTTGTGAGGGACGAGGTGAACAACAATTTGATCCATGGAGGTGTTGCTGATGTTGTACAATTTGTACAACGGCTCCTGGACCGCCAACGTCGCCTCCGACACTATGACCGACTGCTCGGGGAGGCCATTGAGGAAGCTTTACAGCGGCTCCCTAGATCCCTGAGTGCAGAACCCATGAATGCTGCAATGTGGGAACGGCAAGTGTGGGCAGTCGTGGCACGTGAGTCGACGTTTGGGTCTGGACCTTCGACGTCGATGCCGAGCCATGTCGTACGTGAACCATCTGTCCTTCTTCAGCCTGGGTTCCCGGCACAAGTCTCGAACTTGACGACGATGTTACCGGGGGTGGAAGAGCACACCTTCCAAGGCTACCGTCGAAGGGCATGGCGTCGAGCAGTGACAACTGTCTTCAGGGATGAGGACAGGGAACCGCCGATTGGACCTTGGGCACCAGAGAATGACCAAGAATTACATGTACTTCAAATGAACGAGGATGTCCCAATCCCTAATTTGGCCTGAGTCTGTTGAACATCCACGGCATCCAGTACAACATCGACGAGGTGAAGTTGGGCGACGCCGTCTCCGTGCACCTCGTCCACCCCCGCGGCTGGGACGTCCACTGGGTCAAGCAGGCGATGCTGGAACAGAGGGTAGTGGGGAGAACGACGCTGGGAGAACTACACCAACTGAGCGTGAACGTAGCCGTAGTCGGGACGAGTAAGCAGAGACATGCATCAGTCGTCGTCTGCCCTTTTCAGTGCAAACGTGCACACATGCCTTTATGTCTGTATGCCTGAAGTGATTCTGTACATCTTTTCATTGCTTGGCATGGAAGTGCAGCTGGCCTTTGTCACAAGATGGCTTTGCTGCCTAGTGTAAGCCCCATCTGGAGGCAGGCTTTATCCTGCAGCATCGTTCGCGAAGCACAGAAAGAAGCCATTGCACTTTAAAAAAAGAAACCCTAAACCCTAAACCCTAAAAGGTTGTATGGATGTCAGGTGCGAAGTCACGGATCCTTTCTCCCAGTGTGCAATGCAAACGGTAAACCCCATAAAGTTGGAAACCGGATTAAGGCCAAATAGTGCTGGGATTCCCTATACATTACTCTTACGGATTGAGGCTATTGGGTTTCCAACTTTTTGGCTTCTACTGTAACTGCATCCATGGGCATCTCTGTGAAGAGGAGGGGCTAGGCACATGGGCGGAGAATGTTAAATTCCAGTTTAGACATGCCTGGACACTCCAAATATCATCAGAAGCCGCTTTGAGGGGAACATTGCAGTATAATTGTAACGGGGCATTATACCGCGGTACTCGTAACTGTCCAGGCCCCTACAATACGTGTTAAAAGAGTGCGGGCAGGCTCAATGCAGTGGGTTAAGGGAACCTGGCTTCACAGAATGAGGGTTTAGGGTGTAGTGTAGAGCTTCAGGTTAAAAGTTGAGATGTAGGGTTTATAAGGGGTTAGGGGCGTCTTCACTAGGTACATACGACAACCTGCCCTGTCGTATTTTGTTGAATATATGACCATTGGCAGACTTACATGGAATTCTGGGGAATGAAAGCAAGGTTAAGGATTTAGGGTTTAGGGAATGAAAGCAGAATTCTGCCTCTAGGCTTTAAGTTCCGCGTGGATCCTGCGTGCGTGGTTTACACCGGAGCTGCTTGCCTGACTTCGGCCATGTTCTGCAGGGTTTAAGGGTCGAGGGGTGTAGGGGTGGGTGTCAGTGTTTAGGGGTTTGGTATATGCTTTCGGTTTAACACACACTCTAAACCTGAAACCTTAAACCCCACCCCCCAAACCATTGATCATTCATCTTGAGCCTTCAGGCGGAGACCGACAAGGGCCGCTGTCAGAAATATAATGCATAGGAGCCTGAGTAAGGTGCAGTGTTTAGGCTTCCGGGTATTGTGATTGGATGATATTTAATATAGAGGTTCAGTACAGGGGCCATTGGATTTAGTTTTCTGGGGTAGACTTTGCTATAATTGGATCAAGGAGCCCTAAGAATAATACTACCAATTATTCAGGCTTCTTTTTCACTCCTGCAGCGTGGATGCAGAAGCCATTCACTTTTTTTGGGTTATGCTTGCTGCATTGCTCTTAAAACGGTCTGGCTAAGCCCTAAACCCGGTCACCTTCTGAAGGGGTGGTGGGGCTTTGGGTGTCTTCGGTTTTCGGTGTGACCCAAAGAGTACGTGCTCTCGTGAGAATTGGGGGATCACTCTCATGAGGGGTCTCCTTGGTTTGCTTGGAGGATCATGGGACTTAGTAAGTCAGGTTATAAGTACCTTAATTGGGGTTATAAGTAGTTATAAGTACCCTACTTATAATCCTAGTTACTAAGTCCCATGATCCTTTAAGTGAGGATTCCTAGAGTGCATAGTTTCTGTTGGAGCTCTGCAAACGGGAAACCAGAAAAATGACAGAAACCCAACTCTAGAACACTGCCAGGAATACGAGAGGACATGCTGAACATACCGAGATTTTGTGTGCACCTCTGTTTCGTTGAACCTAACATCATGTACATTGCTTGCAATATAGAGGTTTGATATGGCTCATCATCCCTGTATACTTGTTCCTGAAGCTCTATTCGAAGGAATATTATGTAAGCCTCGGTACAAAGAGCGTTCAAGGTGCGAGTATTCTGAGAAGCGTCTAACTGCGTAACAGAGTTGAAAAGGACATTGCTGGTACCAGGTCGCAGCCTGAAAGACCTTCCTTCATATGTAAGCATATATGGTTTATAATTATCGGGATTGGTAGTTAGGGTCGAGTCTTTTAGGGTTTATGGCGTTCCAGATGCGCTCCGCACGGGCCGCGATCTAAGGCACCAGCGGGAGTACGAAGCCGTGCAGCGTGTCATAAGCCGCTTCACGGAGATCTACGAGAACACCGAGCAGCCACAGCCTCAGCAAACCTCCAGAGTTGAATCCCTGAACCCTAACCTTAAGGGTCCCGGTACCCAAATAGTCTGTACTTTGGTCTCAATGTACCTATAGGACCTATAGAGGGAATATTTTAAGGCCAGTATATGCAATTTGGGTACAAGGACCTTTAGGGTATTATAATACCACGGCCTGGAGCCCCATCCTCCTGTGTTGCTCCTGACACCGCCCCAGTTTGGCACTTACCCCAGGCTCCATAGTATTTCCGTTTTACCCCAAAAAGGAACTACTATGGAGCCCCTAGATAAACACAAGTCTTCTGTGCTCTTTGATAAGATTAACAGGTGGGTTTGGGAGGGTTCGGGCAAAGCTTATATCAGGGTTGGGTCGAAAGCCCTGACGTTCGGAAAGTTCGATCAGATTTGCCTAAAGGGCTTTGAAAGTACCTCGAGGCTCCGTAGTAGTTCCTTTTTGGGGCTCATATTTAGAATCCTATAATAAGGTAGTCCCACAAGGGAACCACCATGGAGCCTATGGGTAAATGACAAAGAAGTATTCAGACCCTTCGCGAGTGGTGGAGGTTTTATAAGGGCTCAGAGACTGGGGCTTAGGGTATGTTTGTCCTTTCGGGCTGATTGGGACCCTTTAGGGGGCGGTTTGGAAGCCGAAGCTTTGAACCTTTAGTTGCCACCCAAATCCTGAGCTTACACAAGCCCTAAACCCTGAACCTTAAACCCTAAACCCGCTTAACCAGTTGGAAAAGAGCCCGCACAAAAAAAAAACCTAAACCGTAAATCCTAAAACCCTAAACCCTAAACCCTGCACGTCTCCTTCCATCCTGGTCCTCCCAGGTATTGGATTCGCAAACTGGATGGAGCAGCCACGCGCATGGAGCGAACTCAGGACAGCCTGCTGGTCTCACTAACATGGGTTTGGGGGATAGCATAGTGCAAACATAGCAAGGAACCCGCCCTAAATTGTTTGTAAACATTCAGGCGGATTCAGGCGTGTATAGTGCGATTTAGGGCTTACGAGTTTAGGGAGTTGGGCCTGCTTGTTCAGGCTTTTGTATGTTCATTGAATCGTTGCCTTTGACAATTGCGTGGTAGGGTCGGGTAGCCCTTGACCTTCAACCTTAAACCCTAATGGCAATGTTGTGAAAACAGATACATCTCGAATAGGTCGGATAGCTTTTAAGCATCGTTGTCATATGAGTTGTACTGACGATGATACTACAGTAGTCGGTTGAGGGTTGTAACACAATTTCCCATGGGCTCCATAGTAGTTCCTTTTTGGGATTATAACATATAATTAAAGGGTCATGGGACTTAGTAACTAGGGTTATAATTAAAGTAACTATACTTATAACCCCAATTAAGGTACTTATAACCTTACTTACTAAGTCCCATGATCCTTCAAGTAGAACCTAAACCCTAAACCCTATAGATCCCTTTAAGGAACCCTATAGATCCCTTTAAGGAACCCTTAAAAAGGAACTACTATGAAGCCTCTAGGTACAAAGCCCCTTCTCCGAGCTTGGCCGAGTCGGGAAGGGCTTGAAGGCACGACTCCTGCGGACGGTCCCGAAGTTGGGCTCCCTGTCCCTGAGATCCTCTAAGGGCCCCTTTAAGGGTTCTATAAGGGTTTAGGGTAGAAGGGTCCATGTACCCAAATAATTGTAAATACTTTGGGCCCAATGTACGTATATAGGGAGTACTTTAAGGCCAGACGCATCCGAAACCAAACCCCGGGAATTACACCCCGAAACCCTGAACTTCGAAACCCCAAACCCTAAACCCCAAAAAACCCTCTAAGCCCTATAAGTAAGCTCAACTAGGTAGGGCTTTGGGACATTTTATATTTTCCCTTATTGGGCTTAAGAGGATCTTGTTTACTAATATGTTTCAAAGGCTCTAAAAGCCCCACCTAGTCAAAAACCCAAATCCCCAAAATGCTTGAGCTCGAAACGGGCAAAGAAGAATCGGCCCGAGAGACCCAGGAGCAACTCGAGAAAGCCCTGGAAAGTGCAGATATGCGCGTGGCTGCCGCCCCGGGGGCCGTTCCTGGGTTCTCAAAGGGCTCCCGGTTTAGGGTTTAGGGGTAGGTGGGCTATTCCCACAGAAGAGTCCTTAGATAGGGGATCCTTACTCCTACCTACCTTCATCCCACCTCTTGAGGCCTCCAAGGTTCAGGGTCTACGAAGCTTTGGACTTGGCAAACCTACAACACCCAAAGCCCTAAACCCCGAAAGCCAAAAACCCCATAGAGCTCTAGAGCCCTAAAGCCGTACCATAGCCTGCTGCTTGGTAGAACCCATGTAGATCCATATCTGTGTCAGGTTTGTATCAACACCCTGCAACTAGGCTTCGAGAAGAATGGGGGATATGGGACCTTGCACCCTTGAACCGAAGACCCGGAACACGAAAGCCGAAGGACCCTAAACCCTAAACCAAATCCTGAACCCCTACGGGTTTCCGAGGGTTCCTTTAAAGGGGTCTATAAGGGTTACTATAAGGGATACTATGGGGGTACTATAATATAGGGGCCTAAATAATTACCAATATTATTGTGGGGGCTCCTTATTGTAATTATAATGGGCCCCAAAACCCTATTCCAATTATAAAGGCTCCTACAGGACCCCAAAGGTCCAAGTAGTCCTTATTGATGGTTCTACCCAAAGTCATGTAGTAAAGAGTACTTGGCTCCTTTTCGGGGGGCTATAGAATCGAAGACCTTCACTCAAATTGAGAAAACTATGTGCTTCTGATACTGAGCTTTCACTTCCTTTTAGTTTGTACTATTCAATCAAAAGCGCACTTGTTCTTGGGCTTCAAATCTGATCGACAACCTTGAAACTCTAAATTCAGAAAGCCCTCATCCCGAAACCTTACAAAACCCAATGAACCCTAAGCTCTGAACCCCTAAACCTTTAAACCCCAAACCCCTGAACCCCCTAGACCCTAAACCCCAAAAGCCCTAGACCCTGAACGCCCAAACCTTTAAACCCAAAACCCCTAGACCCTAAACCCCCAAACCCCTAAACCCCTATATAGACCCTGAACCCCCAAACCTTTAAACCCCAAACCCTTTAACCCTAAACCCCTAAACCCCTAGACCCTGAACCCCCAAACCTTTAAACCCCAACTCCCTTAACCCCAAACCCCCTAGACTCCAAACCCCCAAACCTTTATTAGCCCCAAACCCCTTAACCCTAAATCCCTAAACCCCAAAACCCTAACTCCTCTTGTCATCCGTGCCAAGGCCCTGATCCCCAGTGACGCAGCAGACCAGGAGCTTTCAGTGAGGGTTTTGGTTTTTGGTTTAGGGATGTTGGGCTCCTTTAACCCTATACTTCCAAGGACCTTATAATTAGGGCCCTAGGCCCCTTAAGAACCCAATAATAAGGTCCCTGGAAGCCTAGGGTAAAACTTACCAGGACCCTCCTTGTACCCTCAAACAGGGGTATAATATGGTCCCAAATAAGGAGCATTTAGGGTCTAATAGAGAGTAGATGGAGGGTCTAGGTACCTTGGGGTAGTAGGGAATGGAGGAATGGTGTACAATTATAACTACTATTACTACCATTTTTCCACTCCCTACTAACCAAAGGTAAGAAAAGGGTGCGTAAGGGCTAGGGTTCAGGGGTTTGGTTTTTTTTCTGAAGGAGTTCCATAAGGGGCTAGGGCCTGGGGTTCAGGGCACTAAATACACAGATTCGACCCGAAACACACACACATACACACACACACACACACACACCCACGCACACACACACACACACACACACACACACACACACACACCCACCCACCCACCCACCCACCCACCCACCCACCCACCCACCCACCCACCCACCCACCCACCCACCCACCCACGCACGCACGCACGCACGCACGCACGCACGCACGCACGCACGCACGCACGCACGCACGCACGCACGCACGCACGCACGCACGCACGAACGCACGCACGCACGCACGCACGCACGCACGCACGCACGCACGCACGCACGCACGCACGCACGCACGCACGCACCCACACACACACACACACACACACACACACACACACACACACACACACACACACACACACACACAGACCGACCTCGTAACAGTGAAGACTTGCCATCATTCGACAGCGCTTACGCCCGCGTCGCAGTAGCACAACACACGCCGGGACTTGAAGGACCTTAGGGTTCGGGGTTTAGGATTTGGGGTTGAGGATTTAGGATGGTAGGGTTCAGGTTCAGGGCTCGAGATTAGTACTCTACTCCATAGACCGCACTATTACCCTCCAGTATATCCGAAATCCCCATGACTAAAGCCCATGAGAGCTCTCCTAAATCAAACTTGGAGGTGCGGATGAGTCTTGAAACCCTAGTTAGGGTGCAATGTGCTTCAGCTGACAAGCAGTATAGCATGCTGTGACAACACAGATCAAACACGGGGAAAATGATAGCAGAGTATCATGCACGCGTGGTAGGGCGGCACGAATACATCAGTGGGGAAGTGCATCTCCGAATAGATTGTTCTGGCAGCGCAATTTCACTCTGCATGGTACAGCAGTGACGGGCGAACAAAGTCTAGTCGACATGTAAGAATACTCAGAACGGGTACCGCCAACCCATCTTGCTGTTGGAAGGAGCTTCATCGCATTCAAGGCCTACTGTCGCCGGATCAGCTGGCAGCCTCCTCAAAGGCTGTGTCAGTGTCAATCAGTCAGTCAGCCAGCCAGCCAGCCAGCCCACTCCACTCCACTCGCGCGCATATTCTTGCAACCAGCTGCAAGGCCACATCTCTGCACCCCACCCTTTAACGACCAAGCACCCTATCCAAGACCCTGCGGTAAGCCCCAACCGCTGATATATGCTAACAGTTTCCATATAAGTTTAAGCCTTAAAGCCGACAGGTCAAGCTCCCACCAAAACTCCAAACGCTAAAGCCTAAACCCAAGGTTAAGAACCTAGCACAAACCGTAAACCGAAAGTTGAGAACCTGACAAAGCTTACCTTCTGTTACTAGGGAATGGAAGAATGGTAGTAATAGTAGTTATAATTGTACCCCATTCCTCCATTCCCTACTAACCCAAGGTACCTAGACCCTCCATCTACACTCTATTAGACCCTAAATGCCCCTTATTTGGGAGGGTAGAAGGAGGGTCCTGGTAAGGCAAAGCCCAGGTCTTGATGGAAGACCTGAGCCTGGGAATGGGCAAAGACGCACAGCTGATCCCAGCTGGATTGAAGCTAATGCCTGCGACTCATTTTGGGGCACCCAGGGTCTTTTCCTAATCCTAAAGAGCCTCGAAGCCCCAGATGAGAGCAGTTGAGTTTTTCCCGAGTTTCCAGGGCCGATTTAGCTGTTTCTGACGGGTTTTGTGTCCTTCATGGTGGCCAGCAGAATCACGAGCATCATAGCTGCGAGAGCCACGATCAGCACCGCCACAGCCACTGCAGCGTAGCTCCAATTGCTTCTGCAACCACCTCCCGTTAACATCATCGTCTGACTGTCGCCGGAAAGGAAGCAGCTCATAGTTGAGCTCCAAGGAACATCGATCAGCTGTTTCCTATCTGGCATTGACCTGCAATCCCATCAAAATCACGAAGCAACCGAGATACAAGACGCGATTCGATCATTGAGGTGAGGTGGAAGGGACCCTTCGCCGGTTGGCAAGCTATTTGATCTGCAGTGTGAAGCCCACAGTGCATACCTGCAACATATCATATTCGGCCTTGATCGAATGTTGGAAAGACCGTTCATGCATACCAGCACCGACAAATGCTGTAGCCTCAAAGCCATTTACATGGTCGCCCCTTCCTCGCCTTGCCACTACGGTCAGTAGATCGACATCTGGCCCCTAGCCGCCAGAACCCTGTTTATTGCCTGTTTACCTTTTAAATGCAAGCCGAGAACCCACGAATCCAACAGCAAGCTTCGTAGACAGCCAAAACCCGAAACCCTGAAGTCCCCTGGAACCCTACCTCCAAGATCAGGTTAGGCTATTTTGGGACATATATCCTATTTGGCAAAAATAACCTATATAGGTTATTTATATAAATAAACTATAGGTTATTCTTCCGGTTATTCTATAGGTTATTTTATAGGTTATATCTGAAATAGCCTATTTCCTACTGTAGAATATAGCTTAGAAATTGCTTACTGTGTTTGTCAAACTAGCATCCAGTTTGATAGATTTTTGCATAGAACATTGAAATTGACATATTTTTCTAAGTGGCAGACCTTTGCTTGTGGTTGAAGGAATGTTTTTAGGGAACTCAGAAACAACTGCAAGAGAGGCCTCGACCGCTTGTTTGCGAAAGAATACATGGAAGCTTTGGAGCAAATTCCAGCCGTCTTTGAACAATCCAAGATCCCACAGCAGGCAGGAAACGACAACAGCATCGATCTTTTTAAGCTCTTCCTGGGAAGATTTCTCCAGTGTCCTGTGTTGTGCAACCGGAACGATGGTTGGCAGCAAGAAGTGTTTGCGATGCGAATTATATAGACCGTACGGGTTCGGTGCTTCAGGATCCATCTCTTTTGCAGTGATTTTCTCAGAAAAGCACAGCGACATCGACTGTTCACCAGCTTCGACCGGGTTTGCTGTACACAGTCGTCGGGATCCCACCAATCATCGCACGAGTCATAGTCAGAGGCATCACTGGTTGTTTTGGGCTCTGGACTCTTCCAATCCTCCCAACAATCTTCGTTCTCGTAGATCCACCCATAGTACCACGGCATGGTGCAGGGACTCCGGATCGGCCCAGTTTTGCAACCCTAAACCCTACAAACCCTAAACCCCTAAACCCTAAACCTTATAAACCCTAAGTTTAGAGGGGTAGCATAGAGCAGGCTTGAGGTTTTGCTTTGCACTTCCACAGTCGAGATGTTGGAAAGAAAAACGCATGCAAAGGTTTCTAGGTAGCAGAAAAAGAAAAAAAGCAGCATTTTGCTGCTGAACTCTGCCATGGCTGCCATGGATACCCGTCTGAAGTGCGACCCCCTGATAGCTGTGGGGGACCTGCAGAGGTGCTTCAGGGAGCAAGTCCGACGGGCTGACCTTTGGCACACGGTGCAATGTCCCCGTGGGGCTCAATGGTCATGGAAGACAGCCATCAATGTCGAATGGCTTTACCAGAGCCGCTACTTGCTACAGGACCTGCTTGGGGTCGCTCCGAATGCCGTTCTCCCGAGTGTCAAACTCCGAGCTGCAGTTCGCCGATGCCTCGAGACCCCGGAGCTGAGGATGTCCAAACACGGCATGGACGTGGAAACTTACACGGATGGCATCGACCAGAGGGTCCGTGTCCTGATGTCGCAACTTCGGGACTTGAAGAAGGACGATAAGTATTTCCCGGCAATGAGGAAAGCCAGCTTGGAGGAAAAGGAAGGTCTGGACAAGTTGCTGACCTTCTTGCAGGACCCTGCAAGTGCGAAAAAAACTCAGAAAGCCGAGGCGAGCCAACCTTCGACTTCCTCAGCTTCTGCCTCCACGGCTTTGGTACTGTGGCAGCCGCCAAAGGACCAGGCAGCAGGCAGCTCGGTCTTCAGTAGAATCCTCGCGAAAAAGGGCAGCGAGGAATCTGAGTTTCGAGCAGACCCGCCTAAAGCTTCGCCGAGCAAAAGGCTTCGAGCTTCGCAGCCTTTTCGTGTGCGAGCTCTTTGTTCTCCTCGGAAGAACCAGGCTTCGCCTCGGAAGCAGGCTTCGCCTCGGGAGGCGGCCTTGTCCGACGTGCTGGACAGTGAGGCGGCGAAGGCCGTAGATGAAGCTTTGGTGTCTTCGCCTACGAAGAAGAGGGCCTTGAAGAAACCAGCTGCTGCTTTCAAGAAACCAGCTGCTGCTACAAAGAAAAAGACCAAAAAAGCGCCGAAAACGGAGGAGGCTGCCACCGAGGAGGGAGAGAAAAAGAAGTTTAAAACTACCTTCAAGCACAGAAAAACGAGCCAGGCCTACCACCGGGAAAAGTGCCTTCAAGAGCGACTGGGCTTGTCTCCGCAGTCAGCGAAAAAGAAAGCCAGAGAGAAGATGCGGGAAGTGGCCGCCCTCATCGATTCTGGCAAGCTCGTCGAGACTGACTGAAACCTCTGGGTGGCGAGGAAAAAAATAGAAGTCTTTTTGGCGGGCAGGATTAATTGTTCGGGTTTTCCCAAAAGCTCAGGGTTCTTAGTTTTTCTTCACACTTGTGGTTTGGCAATAGATGTTCTGATATAGCATGAAACACCAAAAAAGTAGCACAGCGACGTGTAATGGAGATAGTTTTTACTTGAAATCTAGCGAAGGCACACAAGAAGCACCTCTATAAGTCACATATAATACACCTGATTGGCAGGCTCGGTTGCTACATATAGTCCCTAGGATTTAGGAGGCAGCTTTAAAAAAGGCGCCGAATCCGATTATGCAGCAGGCCCCAGCGGTTCCAAAATGTAGGATCTCTATGTAGCACAAAATCTAAGTACCAGCTTTTTGTCGACGTCCCAATCCATGTCGGTAGCAAAAACTTAAGTAACAGCTCTATCTAGGTCAGAATCCATTTATGTAGCCATATAAATCTAAGTAGCAGCTTTATCTAGCCCACCAACCATCTAGGAAGCCAAAATCCAAGTAACAGCTTTATCTAGGTCGTAATCCATTTAGGTAGCAAAATTCTAAGTAGCAGCTTTTTCTAGGTCGCAATGCTTTTGCTAGGTCGCAATCCATCTAGGTAGCAAAAATCTAAGTAGCAGTTTTTTCTAGGTCGCAATGCTTGTGCTAGGTCGCAATCCATCTAGGTAGCATAAATCTAAGTAGCAGCTTTTTCTAGGTCGCAATGCTTTTGCTAGGTCGCAATCCATCTAGGTAGCAAAAATCTAAGTAACAGCTTTTATTCTAGGTCGCAATCCATCTCGAAATTTAACTTACATCTTTTAGGTCGCAATCCATTTAGGCAGCACAAAGGCGCTAGGAAGCAAGCCAGGTTTTCCCCTAACCTGAAGCCCTTCTGCAGCCCAGAGCCCGAAGAACTTTTCGGCCGTCGCTCGCTCCGATGGCTCGCAGGAGGAGAACCCAGAGAGGAGAGAGGCACAGCAGCCACGACAGAGACCTCACAAAACTGAAGCAGGGCAAACACAGCACTCGGTAGAAAGAGCACACTGCAGACACTAGCACACAGGGACCCCTGATTTAGGGTTTAAGGTTGAAGGTTCTAGGTTTCTTCTCACAGAAGCACCACACACACAGTAGTCTCCACTCAGCGGTTCTCCTTCCCCCGACAGGCCAAACACGTGGCCGCTGTGTAGGACCAGCAGACAGGCACACTTGCAGCCACTTTCCAACAGACGGACAAGCAGAGGCACACACACACACAGACACACTGAGACACACACGGAAACACCGACAGAAACACAGACACAGACACACGGACAACTGCAGACACAACACACACACACACACACACACTTACTTGCTTAGTTACACACACACACACTAACTAACTAGGCCAAAGTTCTAAGTAGCATGCTTCTCTAGGTAGCATCTCACGAGAGCCATAGCCATGGCCAACCTGCCGCCAGACCGCACGGTCTGGCTCGGCGGCCTTCCCTCCTGGCTGTCGTCGGAGGAGCTGTACCACTGGTGCTGCAGCACTACGTGGCCGGTGTATGCGGAGGTGGCTCCGAGTGGCCACTCGCTGACATTTGGCTATGTCATCTACAGCTCGCAGGAGGAAGCCGAAGAAGCCGTGACAGCTTTGCCTGCAGGTGTGGCTGGCTACCGGGTCAGCAAACGACCCTGGCAGGGCAAAGGCCAGGGCAAAGCGGCAGCAGCACCGAAAGCTGCAGCTCCGAAAGCTGCAGCAGCACCAGCAGCAGCAGAGGAGGAGGCTGCTGCTGTTCCCAAAGCAGCAGCAAAGGCGAAAGCTGCAGCAGCACCAGCAGCAGCTGCAGAGGAGGCTGCTGCTCCGAAAGCAGCTGCAGAGGCCAAAGCTGCAGCAGCACCAGCAGCAGCACCTGCAGAGGAGGCGGCTGCTCCGAAAGCTGCAGCACCAGCAGCACCAGCAGCAGAGGAGGCTGCTGTTCCGAAAGCTGCAGCACCAGCAGCACCAGCAGAGGAGGCTGCTGTTCCAGCTGCACCAGCAGCAGCACCTCGGACTCCAACAAGTCCTGCTGAGGAGCCAGCAGCAGCAGCAAGGCCAAGGGCAAGCCCGGCAGCAAGCCCAGCGGCAAGCCCAAGCCCAGCAGCAAGCCCAAAGGCAGCAGCAAAGGCAGCAGCAAGCCCAAAGGCAGCAGCAAGCCCAAAGGCAGCAGCAAGCCCAGCGGCCAGTCCAGCAGCAAGCCCAGCGGCCAGTGCAGCAGCAGAGCCAGCAGCAAGCTCAGCACCAGCAGCAGCAGCAGCAGGGGAGCATCCGTGGCAGGAGGTCTACGAGCAGAGGCCATGCCGGGATCCTGGCCTACGGAGCCCACGACCTCCACCTCGCCCTCGAGGCTCCGTGCAGCAGCAGCTGGCGAATGCCACTGCTGCTAGCAAGTCGCTGGCGGCCACTTGGCAAGAAATATAGTTCTAAGAGAGCCTCTCGGTAACAAGGCTCTATAGGTAGCAAAAAGGCTGGATAGGTAACATGCTTCTCTACGTAGCGGAATCCACTAGGTAGCACATTCTAAGTCACAGGACTCTAGGTAGCAAAAACCCTAGGTAGCAAATTCTAAGTAACAGGACTCTAGGTAGCAAAAACCCTAGGTAGCAAATTCTAAGTAACAGGACTCTAGGTAGCAAAAACCCTAGGTAGCAAATTCTAAGTAACAGGACTCTAGGTAGCAAAAACCCTAGGTAGCAAAGTCTAAGTAACAGGACTCTAGGCAGCAAAGTCTCTAGGTAGCAAATTCTACCTAGCAAACCTCCCTCTCAACTGAGGTGAAAGGGATGCTGCCCTGGCAGAGGAGGCAGCAGGCCAGGGCTGGCTCTTCGAAGGGGGCTGGCTCTTCGAAGGACCCTCCAAGGGCACCCTCGACTACCTCGTCTGACGAGCAGGAGGAGTCGGAAAGCGAAGAGGATGACGAGGTCATCGAGCCGGAGGGGGCCAGAGCAGCCACTCTTCTGGCTGCTCGGAGGAGAGGTGAAGCTCTCCTCCGAGCAGAAGCGGAGCAAAAAAGAAGGCTCAAGGAGAAGGAAAGAGCCAAGGAGCAGAAAAGACTCCGCAGAGCAGAGGAGGAGGAGAGGCGAAAGCGCCGAAGAAAAGAGGAAAAGGAAAAGGAAAAGGAAAAAAAGGAAAAGAAGGAGAAACGCCACAAGAAGGGCAAAAGCAAGGAGAGGAAGGAGAAGAAAGAAAAGTCTGGAAAGAGAGGAGGAGATGATCCAGCTGGCCACGAGGAGAAAACTTCCGGGCCTGGGGATTCTAAGTCGCATATACTTGTAGCTTTATCCTGCAGGAGCGAAAAGGAAGAAAGAAGGAAAGAAAGGATGGAGATTAGAGAAGAAAGCAGGCGGGGGACACAGAGCCACGAGACTCAGTGCACCGCCAAACTTCCCGTGCAGGCTGTCTTCCGAAAGTCTTCCAAGAAGAAAAAGAAGGAAAAAAAGAAAAAGAAAAAGAAGGAGGCAGAGGCCAGCTCTAAGTTGCAGTGTACAGCATTTAAATAAGTAGCAGGTGTAATGCAATCTAAGTCACGTGTCTTCTAAGTAACAAATTCCTAGGTAGCATCAAAACTAGGTAGCAAAAACTCTACCTAGCACAAAAAATCTAGGTAACAAAAAAATCTAAGTAGCAGAAAAATTTAAGTAGCAAAAACTCTAGGTAGCAGAACAAAACTAGGTATCAAAAAAAAAGCTCTAGGTAGCAGAAAAATAGTCTAGTCGCACGTACATTTAGGTAGCATCTCTAGGCAAAGCTAGGTAGCAACCCGAACCAAGAACAAAGCTCCCAGGTCGCATTCTGAGGGGCTCTCGGATCTTCTTACCTCTGCCTCCGCTGTGGTGCCAAAACGGGCGGCCGAGCAGAAGGGTTTTCCAGGGTTGCGGGTTTTGGGGGGCTTGGGCGGTTGCTCCGGTCAGGGCTTCTGTCGAAGTTTCTGGATTTAGGGTTTGGGGTAACGTGTCTAGGGGTTTAGGGGCTTAGGGTTTGGGGTTCAGGGGTTTAGGGGTTCCAGGGTTTAGGGTTTGGGGTTCGGGTTCGGTGGTTAAGTTAGGGTTTCGGGCCTTAGGGTTTGGGGTTTAAAGTTCAAGGTGTCTAGAGGTTCAGGGGCTTAGGGTTTGGGGTTGAGGGGTAGACATGCAGGCACCCACACGGACACAGCGTTTTTTTGTATTGGATACGTATATATTGTTTTGAGGTTCATAATTATTCCTTTCCGTCTTCAATATGTTCTTTTCACAATACACATGAACTGTGAAGTATAGTTTTGCTACACTCTTTTCAAACCAACACATTATTCTATGTGAAGATTTTTCAGATACTTGTGATTTTTTGTGTTTTGTTTTATATTGTAGTTTTACTAAGGTCCAGTTGCAACCATTATGTTAATGTTATTTTTCAATGCATTAACATGTTTCAGTTTATTCATATACATTTTTAAGAAGACCGGTATAGGTTTTTACAAAAAGGTATGTAATTCTTTAAAGTTTGGATATGCATTTTTGAAAGATTTTGTTAGATTTGTTTTTAAAATGCTGCTGGATTCTTTTCAAATTTTGGTAGATTTTTTAAAAAATTTGGTATATTTTTAAAATAATTTGGTAGATTTTTTTCAAAATTTTTACATTTTTTTAAAATTTTTTATATTTTTTGTAAAATTTTTATAGATTTTCAACAAAATGGCGATCCAGTTTGAGTCCAGTTTGAGTCCAGTTTGAGTCCAGTTTCATACAAACTGGATCGCCATGGTTGAGTTTCATATGAAACTAAACCATGGTGGTTGAGTTTCATATGAAACTCAACCATGGCGATCCAGTTTGTATGAAACTGGACTCAAACTGGACTCAAACTGGACTCAAACTGGATCGCCATTTTGCTGAAAATCTATAAAAATTTTAAAAAAAATCTAAAAAATTTTAAAAAAATGTAAAAATTTTTAAAAAAAATCTACCAATTTTTTTTAAAAAATATACCAAAT